GAAGGGCAGTTGTCTTGAGCCCCGGCCCAAGGCCCTCTGCAAGACCCTACAGGAAGAAAAAATTAGCGAAGAACTGTGTGTCCAACCAAACGACGTCTTTGTGGTAAAGAAGCGGTCCATATAAAGGAGTTTATTGGTGTCCAGTATTGTTTAAAATGAAACTGTTTTGGAAAGAAATATGTGACTTTTTTTCAGTGATGTGAGGCATGCGAAAGCAGCGTCAGAAGCGTTAGCTAGACTTGGGGAGAGAAAGACCATTGCAGTCAGGTCAGACTTGCTTCATTCATACTGCTTACGGCCAAATGACCGTGTTCCTAATTCCAGTAGCATGTTGGTAATTGGGTCCCCAAGTTCATATTTAGTGTATTCTTCCTTATACCCTCTACCCCTCGTTACGTGACCCAAATCAATCATCCAATGCAGCAAGCTACGTTGACTACAGCTGGGTTTTTTTGTTTTTTTTTCCGCTGAGGAAGACTGGCCCTGAGCTAACATCCGTGCCCATCTTCCTCTACTTTATATATGGGACGCCTACCACAGCGTGGCTTTTGCCAAGCGGTGCCATGTCCGCACCCGGGATCCGAACCAGCGAACCCCGGCCCCCGGCCACCGAGAAGCGGAACGTGCGAACTTAACCGCTGCGCCACCGGGTCGGCCCCTTGACTATAGCTCTTAACGACTGGACCAAAAAACCTTAGGATGCGTTCCAGAATCTAAGTTTCATGAACTGACTATGCTGCAAGGCAGGGTCCTTCAGGAAAGATACCCGATATATCGAAGCTGATGAAGACATGGTGCAAACAATAAAAGATGCACCATCTCTACCAAGACAATTCTGCACGACATCTTAGTCACTTCGGCCTCACTGAGATTATTATGGAATGAAGGAAAGAGCCTTGAAACTGGAGAGACTTGGGCTCTGTCCTGACTCTGTCACCAACAAGCCAAATGGCCTTCAGCAAGTCAACTGACCTGGCAGAGGACAGAAGAACTGATTTTTAAGAAATGTTCATGACAAATGCTGACTGCAGAGGGCCAAAGGAAAAAGATCATGTAGAAAACTGTTGCTATACCATAATCCAGGGCTAGGAAAAGATCGATTTTATATATATAAAGAAAAATGAGCAGAAAAGCAAATTTCTTAAACTTTCCCAACATTTATGGGGCACCCACCGAGCGCGAGGTGCTCCTCCGGGCGGGCGCTGAGGATCAAGCAGTGCGACAAACCTGCCCCGCAGCTCCGGCCCTCGGAGGTGAACTGTGGCGGCCGCCTTTGGATCACAGGTAATTAGATCTTGAAACCAAGATTTACAAAACTTTCAACATTGTACAATATGTCTGCATTATTTTTCAGTAAAATGACTACAAATATGAAAACTATTTTCAAAACTGTACACGAAGAAGGGGGTTGAAGGCACGATGCAAAAATAAACCTTTGTATATTCAGAAAGCAACTCTTTTCATGAAAAACCTCTAAGGAAATTTATCACAAAATACTATTAACGGTCATCACTGGGTGATGGGACGGTGGTTTAGATTACTTTCTTTATTATATTTGATCCGTCCTCTCAATTTTCTGCAGTGAGGTTGAGTGACTGGCCTTAACTGAAGAATACGTTAATAAAGGTCCATAAAACCCAAAACAACTTGGGGAAAGACAATGACAAGACCACTCAGAGAAGAGAAACACTAGCTGCTGAGGAATCCAGGCAACTCCTTAGAAGAAAAGGCAATTGGAAAAGCAAAGGGGTTTCCTCTGAAGGCAGTGGGTTTTCAGCAGGGACGCGACGCAAGGGAGCGGATCCAGTCCCACCCAGCCTGGCCCGCAGGGGCGCAGAAAGGAGGCGCCGCTTCCTGCGCAGTTTTTTCAAGCACGAAGGGCGGGGCAGGAAGGCGGACGGGCGGCTGCACGGCGCAACACTGCCACCTGCAGACCAGAGAAACCCCACGCCACCAACCCCAGCGAAAACTCCATCTTTTCCGCGGTCGTTCGGCGCAAAGACCTGGAGCTCGTGGCTCAGGAAGGCCGGCGGGAGGAAGATGAGGACCACGGAAAGGAAGAGAAGCGGCCAGAGCGGCCCCGGCAACCGGGCTGGGGCACCGCCGCCTTCCCGCCCCCGGCCCGGGCCCCGGCACCGTAGCCACAGCGGCAGGAAGTCCCTGTGCCCAGGAAGGACGCGCCCCGGGGGCGGGGCTGCGCCCCGACTGGCGGGCTCTGGGCCGGCGCGCGGGCGCCCCGTGAGGTGGCCGCCAGCCTCCCTGCCGGTGGCCGCTGGCGCTTGCCCTCCGGAGCCTCTTGCGAACTGTGGACCGGGGACGGCCAGGTCCTGTCGCTCGACTGCCCCAGCCGCCGCCCCCGCCCCACGTGCGGGAGCTGGACCAATCCCCTGTCATCCTCCTCCCGCCCACCCCCAGGCTGCGAACGCTCACTGGTGCCCGTCCCCTGGCACGCTCACTGTCCTCCTCTCAGCCCTCACGCCTCTGATCCCTCCCGGCGACCTCGGGGCCCACGAGGCTGACCCGGTCCACCGGAGCCTCTCCGTCCTCAAGGATGTTCTCCCCCTCCCCACCCGAGCATCCCCCAGCGCACGGTCATGCCCCGGGCATCAGGAAAGACCGCGCCCCTCCTGGATGCCCATTTCTAACATTCCGCTGTCTCATCACCTCAAGGCCATGCCCTGGTCGTCCAGCTCCCTCCCCCCAACGCCTCTGCACCCACAGCCTTCAGCCTCTTGGAAACCTCCGGCCCACCGACCCCACAGCCTTCCTCACCGTCCACTAGGCCCCTCCTTACCCAGCTTACCCAGGGCTATAAACCCTCCCCCTCAAACACACCTCTTTTGCTCCCTGCGTGTATCTGAGCACCTGAGCGTTTACGAAAAATCTTTAAAACCTTACTGAGTTGTTTTATCTTAAATCCATGACCCTGAGAGGATTGCTTCTCACTTTCACTCTCATCCTACCTACACTACTACATTCCTCACCAGGAACCCTCCTCCATTCCAATGAACCTCCCTTAATAATTCATTGCGAAAACAGAAGCAATCAGGTGGGACTTCTCAGAGCCTCCCAAACCCAATCGACCTGTTTCTGCCCTGGCATTCTCTGCTGCCTCTGCATACACGTTCCTGACTGCAACCAGCCCCTCACCTCTGCTCAGGATCCCATGTCTTCCACCTTGTCAGGGACTTTGCTCCTGCAATTGTCACTCCTCTCTCCTGAACCATCACCTGCTCCCTCTACATTGGAGCATTCCACGACAAAGGGAGAAAAACCCACCCCCTCCCCACGTCTTTCTGCACCTACTGGCACATTATCTGTTGCCCTTCAAAGCAAAACTGCTTCAGCTTCTCCTGAGATGATTCACTCCTCAGCCCCCTTCAACAGACCTTTTCTCCCTATCCCTCCCCTGAAACTGGTCTTGTCAAGGCCACCATTAATATCCATATTGCATGATCCCACAGACACTTTTCTGTGCTCACCTTAAGTAACCTCCCAGGCGCCCTTGGCACATTTGACCATTCCATTCTTTATCACTCTATTTATTTTTATATTTTGTGGGGAGGGGTTATGTGACAACATATTCTCCTATTCTTGACAGGGCACACATTTCCACAGCATGCCCCTTTTGACCTAGATACAGTATGGGAAGTCTCAGGCCAAGATGAAAAACAAGCCAAAGAAAAGCGTGTCCATTCCAGTCACAGGGGGTAGAAGGCCCACGGAGGTAGTGGCAGGCAGAGGTAAGACAGCTCAGACAAGGGAGGTGTGTCAGGAAGTGAAGAGGAGCTCCAGGTAAAAGAGAGTTTCACTCCGCTCGCACTTGGGACTCACAGGAGTTCACTCTGCAGAATGACCCAGTAGCGTCTTTGGGCAGAGGGGTGGCTGGAGTTTGGGGATTTAGCTTTCTGGAGGTGATCCTGCTTCCTGCTAGGGTGCGAGTGAAGCTTCAGGAGGCTTCATTCCCCGAGGGAGGAATGTGGAAAGTGGCTGAGTCCAGAGCCAGGGGTTCCTGAAGGAAGCCTAAGCAGGCAAGGGGTTAGGTGGCCCTGCAGCTGAGGCTGTGGAGTGGATGGCCCTGCCCAGGGGCGGGATGGAGGATGAGACCCAGGTTCAGAGGGGGCTGCAGATGCCAGCAGAGTGAGCTGAGGCCGAGACAGCCTGGGGAGCACCAGGTCCTGACCAAGAGGGGAGAGACAAAAATGCAAGTTTCACCAGCCCCACCCGTGGGTGGTACAGGTCAACTTCACCAGCTGGACCTGGGAGAAGAGAGTCATCCTTCCCTCAGAGACCACCGAGGGCACTGCGAGCAACATAGGTGTGTCACAGATCCCCTTCCCACATTACCACGTAGACTTGTAAGCCACACATACCCTTCCCCATTTGGAAAGAAGTAGGGAGGTGAGGTGGGAACCTGAGACTGAGCATTCTCACTGAAACGGACTGAGGATTTGTATATGTGGACCATTCACACGATGGCATCCAGTCACGCTCACCAAATTAGAAGTAAATTCAGTGGTTTTTTCCCCCCTTACTATCCAGTTCAGAGAGTGGGCAATCATGATGAAGATCAGATCAGTCAGGGAGAATAAACCAAAGTGCCCGTGGGGTCCGAGGAGCACGAGTGAATCTAGGATCTCAGCACGCCATCCCCACCAGCTCCTCCTCTGCCCACTGTCTCATCAGTCCGTGTTCAAAGAGATTGGGGGGTGTTTGCCGCCTCCTCTCTTTACACGGGACAGCTTTAACATCCCATCAATGGACCCCTAAGACAGATCACAGAAAGAAGAGAGGCACAGACAGACAGACAGACAGAGTAGAGTTACTGATGAGAGTGGTCACAGAGATGAGCAGGGCCTCCTCAAGGCCGTCCCTGCCCTCCACAAGCACTGCCAGGCTCCTTTCTCCTTTAACAATACAGGCCTTCACTTCAAGGCCTGAGTCCTGGAGCTGGACTTCAGAAAATGCTTCCAGAGCCAAAAAAGGAACATGCAGGGACATGCAGAAAGCCAATGTTTTTTATTAGAAGAAGTAGGGTTGACTTTTTCTCCCCCCCTTCTTTTCCTTCCTTTCTTTTGAGGGTAACAATGCCAGTTTCCTCCCTAGAGTCAAGAGGCATGGGTGAGAATCTCAGTAGCTGCTGACAGACTCAGAAATATCTCCCAAGGTCTCTTGCTCACCCACTGGCTCCTATTCTTCAAGGGAGACCCTCCTCATTTCTCCTAGACCTTGCGTGCCCTCGAGCACAGGCAACGGCTTTTGCCCTGAGAGAGTGAGTGGCAATCAAATGCTCCTGGCAAGGGGCGTGTCTCAGGTCTCCACTTCTAGGTAGTCGTTGGCTTCTTGAGTGTGTTTTCTATCGAGGAGAGCACATTGAATAATAGCAGCAACAACAATCAAACAGCAGAAACAATACCAGTTTTCACAGGCTCACTTTATGTGGAGCTATGTGACTTAGAAAACATTTATATACCCACTGCCTCATTTGGTTCTTGTAACTCAGAAAATCGTGCCTTCTACACCCCTTCATCTTAAGGAGACAGCAGTGCTCTGAGGCCCAGGAGCCTTTCAAATGGAAACCAGGAACTAGTCCCAAAGAAGCCACCACGGCTCTTGTGTCTCACCCCGGGGAGCTAAGGGGGTCAACTTGGAGGAATGGCTTGGTTCTCCCCCTGTCACAGTCATGCCCCACCTGGTATCCTTTCCTCATTGGGGCGCCCTCTCAGATCTAGTCCTATCCTTCCCCACTGGCCAAACAGAGGTTAAGGAGCTATGGAAAAACGGGACGTCCTTCACAAAGACCTCGAGTTCCGATAGTGCCTGGGCTGTGCACAGGTCGCTCTGGCAGAAATCTCTTTTGGATTGAACCCTGCTACTTTGCTGGAAAGCATACACCTCAGTTATTTGATGGTGGCCTGATACCGGTGGCCCTTGGGTAAGATCTTTGAAGACTTCAGACTCAGGCCTCTCCCTGCACTTCCAAAGCGCCCCACCCGAGCCCTGGGCCTTTGCATCCCCTTCATGGTGATCTGAGGACTAGAGACTCTGCTATCTCACCTTTGCAGGGGCCAGAATCACAAGGGAGTTCTGTTCTTTCGCTCTATGGACCAGCCCCTCTGTTCATCATCTGGAAGACCCCAAAGCACAGCCTCCTCGCCACAGATATGAAACATTGAGGCCAAACCTCTCCTAGCTTCTCATAGCTTTCTGTGCTTCTAGCGTCCTGAATCAAGTAACATCTTTGCAGCAGACATTCGGTGTGAATCTCAAGGCCACTCAAATGCCTTTGTCTCCAGCCCCTGCCATCACTCCAAACCCAAGCCCGTTACATCCGTTGCCCTCACCACAGGACTGCTGTGTCCTCCCCCAGCAGGACTCTCTTCCCTCTGATGCCGCCTTTGCCAAAGCTTCCCAATCCCTCCCCCCTCAATTTCACTCTATTCTGAGTTAACTCAATCTTGGACTCTCCCCAACACCACCCATTTGAGGCCTTTTACCTGGAAGATGTTGTATCTCTCAGTCCACACACATCTCCATGGGTCCCGGAGGTAAGAATGAGGGTGGGAAGAGGGGATGGAAGTCTCCCTGCAACTCCACTGCTGCTTTGAAACCCCCATTCCTCCCTCCTCAACTTGAAGAATCACCTGTGAGGCTTATCCCAACTCTTGATAACTCTGTCATCTACTCAACAGTTCTCCCGACAGTGAGGGATTTCTGGAACCTGCATCCTGATGTTTTTCTCTCTCATTGTTGGGGACAGAAAATAACATACCCTGAAAAGCACATGGCCATCTGCTTCTATTACCCCGTGTCTTTGATTCCTTCCAAGCCAAGCTTCTTGAAAGTGTAAACTCCAACAGCATACTTATTTGGTTACCTTTCGATTCCCCCTCAATATGCCCCCATCCATGGACCATCCCCTTGCTAAATTCTCCAACGGGCTCCATGTTGCCAAACCCAAAGTACCCGATGCTGTCTTGGCCACAGTTAACATTCCTTTTTTTCAAAATGCTCTCCTTTCTCAGCGTCTGTGACAGCAGCCCATCTTGGCTTTCCTCCTACCTCTCAGACCACTACTTCCAAGTCTCCTCATTGGTCCTTTTTCTTTGATCCCCTGCTAAATCTTGTTTCTTCCTGGTTTCCAACCTCTGCCCAGTGCTCTTCTCACTCAGCACAAGATCCGTGGGTGACCACATCACCACCCAGAACTGTCCCCCATCTGACTTGTTTTCATCTGTATCCCCTTGTATGGTGACAGCTTTTCTCATCACCACGTCTGCCTAAGAAATCTCAGCTGGGCCCCAGGGCCTCCCCATAGGCTGAGACCTATGGGGCATCTCTACTCAGATGTCCCACAAACCCTGCAAATATGCAGGTGACCCCAAACCTTTGACCCCTGTCTCATGGATGGGCACTGCCATCCACCCGATTCCTTAAACCAAACCCCTGGGGATGCTGCTAGGTGTGCTTTCCACCACCCTGTGACTCCCTGGACCTGCTCTGGAAAAGGCTAAACCATGATCTTCATGTTGCCACAGATGTGCATAAAGTCCCCTGTGAGGGCTCGTTCTTGGCAGACACACTCTGAACACATCCTGAGCAGAGACGTGTGCACCGGTTTGGGTGGGCCCCTCACAGGAACTCCAAGGAGAACCTGGGCCCTGCAATATACCTGAGAGAGGGAAATCCTCATCTTCTGTAAGAACTCAACAAATAATGTCTAAACTCAATGAATCCAGACATAGCAGTATAAGCCCATGATTTGGGAATATGGAGATGCATATCCAGAAGAAATCGCTGAAGGAGAAAGTTTGGGGAGGCGGAGGAAAGTCCATGGGTGTGCATGATACAAGGGATTGCTGAATTTTATTTTTCATCATAAATATCCTGGTCCTATATGGTCTTTTATCTGAGTGTGAATTACTTTGATAACATAAATTATAATAAAAAGTTAAAAAATGCAACTCAACAAACTTAGCAGATAAGCCTGACGGCAGATCCTTCTGCATCAACCGATACAAATCTAGTCATCTGTAATTTTCAAAGAAATGTTGTGACGTGTCTCATGGCATCATCTAGACAATGCTTTACAAATTTTAAAGTAAGCACAATGGCTGGACGAGAAATAAAAACTTAGATGTTTCATTAGCAAATACTAATGGGTTTTAACTTCAAAATTTTGATTTCAGGAACGTGGAGAACAGCAAGTACAGTGTCAGTCTTAAAACACACATTCGCGTTGTCATATTTTTTCCTTTCCTAAGATATCTGCCAAGCACAGCAGGTAATGATGCAAACCTGCTCTCCTTGTAAAGAGAAGTCTCAAATCTCCGATTTTAGGTTTCCTCCTAGAAGGAAGGTTCTGTTTCCACAGCTGCAATCTAGCCTTTCATAGAAGTTTTCCAGTAATGTTCATGCCGGGGCCACGTTCCAGACCCACTAATTCAGACTTTCTGGGGATGGTGCGCCACCTTTTTTTTTTTCTTTCTTTCTTTGAGGAAGATCAGCCCAGAGCTAACATCCAACACCAATCCTCCTCTTCCTGCTGAGGAAGACTGGCCCTGAGCTAACATCCATGCCCATCTTCCTCTACTTTATATGTGGGACGCCTGCCGCCACATGGCTTGATAAGCGGTGTGTAGGTCGCACCCCGGGATCTGAACCAGCAAACCCTGGGCTGCGGAAGCGGAGGGAGCAAATTTAACCGCTATGCCATCTGGCCGGCCCCCATCATCTTCTTTTAAAACCGCTCCAGGGGAGATGTGATGCCGCGCGAGGTTGAGAAGCATAAGCACACGCTGTGTTTCACCTCCCTTGGTTTTAAATAGAATTTTGGACTTTAGAGCCATGTTTGTCATTTCTGGATTAAAAAAAAATTAATATGTATCTTCTCTTTTGAGAGCTATTTTTGACATGTTTACTTTATTTTACAGCCATGTTTAGAACAATTTCAAGGACTCAGGAGTGTGTTTATGCCCCAACGTCCCCTTCCTTACGTGACCCCCCAGGCAGGTGGAGGGGAGGGAGAAGGGCCTTGGGGTGGAAAGGTGGCTGGAGTTCCATTGTCTTGGTCACTGCTCTGTTGCGCATCCCCACCCGGTCACTGAGCTCGGGCAGGGTTCCCTATAGGGGGACGAGACCCCTCACCACTCTACATGTCTTCCTGTGACCAGAGGTTGAAGCTAAGGGCTCAGGGAAACTGAGCCGGGTCCAGGGGATTCGTGGAGAACAGAAAAACACCTGAGTGGCATTTCAGACCCAGGGTGGATTCCCTCAGCCATGGAATTGCGAGTCAACCATTATGTTCACCCAAAGGGCGCCTGCACGTGAACACACAGAGAAACACGCACACATGTGTGCACTCACCAGCACTCCTTCTACCCTGATGTGTACAGTGACTCTGTCTGGCGGGAGCATCTAGTACACTTGGAGGAGGCAGGTGATGATGGGTCACGTAGGCAGGACCCAGAACATGGAACGAGGTGGGGGGGGGGGGATTCCTTAGTGCTATATAAGCAACGACGTACCTTTTCCTGGATGACTTCCGTGGATATTTGTATTACATTTGCTAAACAGCTCTACTGAAGTATAACTTACATACCACAAAATTCACCCAGTTCAAGGGTCCAATGCAGTGACTTCTAGTAAATTTACAGAGATCCGCAACCATCACCACAACCCAGTTTTCGAACATTTCCGTCACCCCAAAAAGATCCCGTATACCCATTAGCAGTGAATCCCCATTATCACCTCCAGACTCTGGCACCTCTAATCTAATTTCTGTCTCTACAGATTTGCCCTTTCTTTGCATTTCATATAAACTGACTCAAGCAATAAGTGGCCTTTTGTGTCTGGGTTCTTTCACGTAGCATCATGCTTTGGAGGCTCACCCAAGTGGTAGCAGAAATCAGAAGTTTGCCCTTTTTATGGATCAATGGTATTCTACTCTATGGGAATACCACATTTTGTTTATCCGTTCACCAGTCGACAGACTTTTAGATTGTTTCCACTTTTGGGCGATTACGAACAATGCTGCTGTGAACATCTGAACACAAGTCTTTGCGTGGACATAGGTTTCATTTCCAACTTCTCCATGTTTTCATTTCTTTGTCTTGCATATTGGCACTGGCTAGAACCTTCAGTCAATGTTGGGTAGCCGTGGGGGAAGCAGACATCCTTGCCTTGGTCTGGATCTTATAAGGGGAAAGCATCCATTCTTTCACTAATAAATATGATGTGATGGGAGCAGCAGGTTTCTTGTAGATGTCCTTCATCAGATTGAGGACATTCCCTTCTATCTCTAGTTGGTTGAGCATTTCTTAAATCATGACCGGGTCTTGAATTTTGTCAGATGCTTTTTCTTTGTCTGTCAAGACAATCGGATGGTTTCTGTCCCTTGTTATATTAATGTGGTGTATTACCTTAATTGAATTTGAATGTTAAGCCAATATTGCAACCGTGGGGTAAATCTCGCCTGGTTGTGTTGCATACCCCTTTGTAAATGTTGCTGGACTGGGTTTGCTAATATTTTGTTGAGGATTTATGTATCGATATTCACGATGGATGTCGGTCTATAGTTTGCTTGTGATGTCATGTCTGGCTTTGGTAGCAGAGTAATATTGTTCTCATAGGATGACTTAGGAAATGTTCCCTCCTCCTCTCTATTCGGCAAGAGTCTGTGACGGATGGGTATTATTTCTTCTCTGAACGTCTGATAGAATTCACCAATGGAGCCAGCTGGCCCCGGGCTTTCCTTTGTGGGAAGGTTTTTAATTTAATAATTTGACTTCTTTACTTGCAATAGGTACCTTCTGATTTTTCTATCTGGGCATTACATTTTAAGCCCACTCTCTCCCAATATTTTCTTGCTTCCTGGCGCCTCTGGCTCAGTCTCTGGTCTAGAATTTGACCTGCTGGACACCACCACACTCCGGCTCCTGGTCTATAACTTGGGACAGTATGCTGTCTCAGATGTGACCCCAGGTCTCCTCCTACACCCCATACACGGGAGTGGGGACAAAGACTTTGAGATGGGGAAGGGGTGGTGCCGCTGACTCCCTCAGTTACACCCGCCCACCCATATCCATGCACTCTCCTGGAGTCCATGGGTAACTCTGCAGTTAGGACCTCCCTCAGCAAGCCCCCAGCGTCCACTTCACCCCACCATGATCCTTTTTTCACTCCTCTCATCTCCCAGCAACCGAGACGCACAGGGGATCAATGATGGGCTCTCCACCATACCTATGGGTGTCAGATCTCTCTCTGATTAAAGGCTCAACTCCCAAGGCCAGGGGTGGGCTCTACAGCTCCTCCTCACTTCCCCGCCCCAACAGCCAGCCTAGCATGGAGTGGGGGAGGTAAGGGGAGACAATGCCAACCTTCATGAGTGGCTAGACTGTGGTTGGCAGGATTGACCGGGTGTGGCTGCTGGAGTGAGGCCATCACTTTATGACTTCTGTGAACTCTGCCAGGTGGGGATATTATCCTTGCCCCAGTGCACTGTGGGGAAGATCCGATGATGTACGTTACCAAGGCTATGTGGTGCCAGCAGTGAATCTTCCACTGAAGTCACCAGCTCTTCATGCTTCACCCCCAGCCTTGAAGGGGTTACGGTGCGGCGAATGGTTAAGAGCGGGGGCTCTGAATCCAGTCGGCCTAGGTTTGTGTGCCACACCCCTCTTATTGCCTGTGTGACCCTGAGCAAGTCCCCTAACTGCTCTATACTCTGCTTTCCCACTTCATAAATGGGGATCGAATCTTGCTAAACGATGGGTCTGTGGGAGAGGATTAAATAAGCTGATCTACGGACACAGGTAGAACATTGTCTGACATCTAGTAAACAACCAATAAACATGAAACGCCGTGTTACCCCTTCTAAACACACTGCAGATGACCAGTCCGAATTTAGGCCTTTGAGTTTCAAGAAAGAAAAGCCCTGCTTTACTTACCTTCTCCCCTCCAGCTGGGAGACAAGCCTGGCAGGGTCAGTTAAGCTCCCAAGCTCTCTGATGAGATGACAAGTTCAGAATCTAATAAACGTACCTGTTCTCAAGCCACTTCTGTCTGCAGAAGACGCGTAGATTTTTTGCAGCAACACAGCTCTGGGGACTACATGAAGACACAGACTAACGGAAAGCAGAGTTTATTTTCAGTTCAGAAGAACTGCATGGTCACTTCCTGGGTACACATCATTGGATTCTGTGGAGGGAAAAGGTAGATTTAATCATTCGTGCCTCCTGAAATGAAAAGGCACATGTCTAAATCCAAATACGACTGTCAAATAACTCAGTGACACTCTGGTTCTCACGCGGCAGGCATGAAACTACTGTTTGCCTGCACCAACCCAGGGATACCAGGCAACGAGGAATGGCCCCGGGAGTCTGCGTGCCAGGGGCACCAGCACCATCTGGCAGGACCTCCTACTGTGGGCAGCAGACTCTGCTTCCAACTCTCCATGGGCAGAAGGGCTCTCTTCCATTTGCTCTGCCTGGGTGACCTGAAGGCTGGTTTCGCTGCAGGGCCACAAACAGTGGCTTGATGGTATTCTCTGTTGCCCTCCCTCCTCCCCTGTTCCAAATGCGCACGGTTTAGAGCTCCTCTTGGTTCACTCTGATCTACTGCTCTGGGATTTAAATGTAGTGATCTCAGATCTAACAAAGGACAAAACAATATGGATGAACAAACCTGAATTCTAAAGTTAGTTTCCTTTCACACGTGTATTTATTTGGTATCGACGACGAGGTAACCCATCAGAAATTCCCTCAAGGGGGAAGACTACTCAATGTTAAGGAGCAGGGAAACAGCTACATTTAAGCTCGTCATACTCATAATAGCTTATACAAACCATACGATACAAATGGCGAACCCCCGAGTTCTAGCTCCACGTCCTTTTCCCACACTTTGTTTAGCCTCAGATCTTGGAAACTGGATCTAAGTTTAGTGCCCGTGCATTCCACCAAACCTAGTGCTGCTTCTTGGAAGCAGTCAATAAAATGGCACAAAAGCACACACACAGCAACAAGGCATTCTCAGTACAGAGGCAGTTTCTATCCTATTGACACAAAGTAAGGAGGAAAGACAGAGATTCAGGGTGTGAAAGTGACAACATGCATCATGGGAGCCATATTACAGGAGTTAAGGACCACTCGTTTGCAGTCTCCCTTGCCACAGAATGCCCCAGAGTGATCCAGAAATTCCAGGCAGGAAAGATTAGGACCTTCCTGGGATCAAATCAAGGCTCGTGCTGACAGGATTTCCAGTCATAACTCTGGTCTTGTCACTCCTCCAACTATTGCTTACTCTTTGGTCCCCAAAAGCAGTCCACGCCCAGGATCTGGCAACACCAGCATCCACGTCTGAATCCATTCAGATCTCCATCACATGAGGATGAGAGTCTCAGTTTTCTTTTAACCACTGTTTTAGGAGCCTCTGAAACATTCTTTTGCTTTCCTGCCGCATCTCCAGTTGGAGCTTCTCCTCTCTCTCCTGCTGTTGGAGCACCCCTTCCGGCAGAAGACCGGGCCGGTTGGTACCCAGGCTGAGGGTCAAGCCACTGAGGCCCTGTACTAGCGTTTCCCAGGAGGAAGGATGTGGGGCCCCCTTCCTCTCCGCAGGCATCCCAGAAACACTCGGCCTACGGCTCTGGCAGTATCGACATTCACACCGGAATCTATTCTGAACTCTACCATCTGAGGAAGAGACTCTGGCTTCCCTTTCAACCTGATAAGGTGCCACGTGATCGAGGTGTCTCCGTCTCATGTGCCCGAGGAATGTTTTCTTCCCCTGAGGGGATGCTGACCTTTTCCACCGCCTCTCTTGCAGGATTTCCTCATCTCTGTACCGCTCCTGGAGCAGCCCCTCTGGTAGAGGGGCAGAGTAGTTGGTGCTAGGATGGGGGTTCAGGTCACTGATGCCCATCATTAGCAATCCTGAGAAGGAAGGATGAGAGGCTGCTGTGACTTCCCTGGATGTCTCTTCAGAGGTCATCAGGGAAGATTCAGAAATCAACGTTGAGTTACGCTTCTGGAGGGGATCCATGGAGGTCTAGTCTGTGCTCGAAGCTCCAGCCGGCCCTGGGGTCTGGACAGGAAGGTGAAGACGAAGGTTCTCGAAGAACTAGAAGGTAGCAGGGAACGTGGGGAGCCAGAAGAACCCAGACTGCAACACACAGTGACAAGAGAAGAAAGAAAATCCATTCCATTATTATTCATCTTACCCAACCTTTCTGTCCCTCTGTTTCCCATCTGTAAAATGGGGATAATAATGAGACCTATTTCCTAGCATTGTCCTGCAGGTTAAATGAGATAATTACATCTCAAGAGCTCAGAATACTTCTGGCATATGATTATAGGGGTTTATTATATATCATATAATATATATTATTATTACAAGGGTTTCAGAAATGAGATCAATTATTGCACCCATATGACACAATGCAAAACGATGCGCTGGCAGTCAATCACGTTAATGCCCTGCTGACTTTTTACAAATTATTCTGAAGCATAATTTAAAGAACAATCAGTGTGTGACTAACACGTCCTCTTCTCATAAGCATTCCTATACTTGCAAAAAGTAGACATTTACTAAATTGTAAGCGTTTGCACCATGGTGACACACCCTTTTAAATTTTCCCTCATCCTCACTGACTTTTCACCCAGTTAAAAAGGCTGCTCGAGCCTATAGAAAACATCTCAAAATTCCCAGTAAGTATAAATAAGATTTTACTAAAAAGTAAGAACAGAAACCAACGAGATTTCTAACAGAAAAAAAAAAAAATGGAGAGAAACTCAATTAAGCCAAAAGCTGGTTCTTTGAAATGATCAATAAAATTGATAAACCTCTAGCAGGACTGATGAAGACGAAAAAGAGAGAGAAGAAGCAAGTTACCAATTGCAGGTATGAAAGAGGAGATCTCACTGTAGACCCAGCAAATATGAAAAGGACAAAAATATGGTAACACTACATTCAACTTAACATATATAAATGCAACTACTTAGAAGAAACGGATCCACGACTCAAAACCCATAAAGTACCAAGATGCGCCCAAGGTGAAATAGTGTACAAAGTCCCACATCTTCTACATAATGTGAATCAGTAGTTGAAAACCTTTGGGGAAAAAACCCAGGTGGTAGCACTGGTGAATCCTACCAAATATTGAGAGGAAGAAACCCCCACAAATTCTACACAATTTCCTCCAGAAAACAGAGGTGGAGGATTTTATGAGGCTAGCATTTCACTGGTCCCAGAAAAAGAAAACTCCAGACCAATATTCTTTCTTGTCACAAGCACAAAATTCCTCAACAAAATACTAGCCTCGAATCCAGCAATATACGAAAAGAATAATACACCTTGATCAAGTGGGGTTAACTTTGGAATGCAACGGTGGGTCAATTACTGAAAATCAACCAATGCAACCCACAGGTTAAGAAGAGAACTGATTAATCAATCAACGTAATCCACAGATTAATATAACAGATTAAGAAGAAAAATGATAGACAGATTCAATGCTATTCCCACCAAAGTCCCACTGGCATTTTTTACAGAAATAGAAAAACAATCCTAAAATTCATACGGAATAACAAAAGACCCAGAATGGCCAAGGCAACTCTGAGAAAGAAGAACCAAGCTGGAGGCATCAAACTTCCTCATTTCAAACTTTATTACAAAGCTACAGTAAGTAAAACAGTATGGCACTGGCATAAAGACAGACGTATAGACCTATGATACAGAACAGAACCCAGAAACAAACCCACGCATATACAGCCAAGTGATCTTTGACAAGGGCCCCAAGAATGCATAACGGGAAAAGGACAGTCTCTTCAACAAATAGTGCTGGGGAAACTGGATATCCACATGCAAAAGGATGAAACTGGACCCCCATCTTACACCACACATACCAGTCAACTCAAAATGGATTAAAGATTAAACAGATGACCTGAAACTGTAAAACTCCTAGAAGCTGCACGACATTGGTCTTGGCAATGACTTTATGGAAATGACACCCAAAGCCCAGGCAACAAAAGCAACAATAGACAAGTGGGGCTACATCAAACTAAAGAGCCTCTGCACAGCAAGGAAACATTCAACGGAGTGAAAAGGCAACATGCAGAATGGGCAAAAGTATTTGCAAAGCATAGATCTGATGAGTTAATGTTCAAAATTAATAATGAACTTACATAACTCAATAACCAGAAAACCAATAAGCCAGTTAAAAATGGGCAAAGGATTTGAGTAGACATTTCTCCAAGGAAGACATACAAATGGCCAATAAGTATATGAAAAGGTGCTCAACATCACTAATCATGAGGGAAATGCAAATCAAAACCACAATGGGATACCTCATGGCACATGTTAGGATGGCTATTATAAAAAACAAACACACAAACAAAAGATAACAAGTGCTAGTGAAGATGCAGAGAAATTGGAACCCTTATACACTGTTGGGAACATAAACTGGAGTGGCCACTATGGAAGACAGTATGGAGGTTCTTCAAAAAATTAAAACGAGAACCACCGCATGATCCAACAATCCCACATCTAAGTATATATCCACAAGAACTGAAATCAGGATCTCGAAGAGATACCTGCACTCCCATTTTTACTGCAGCTTTATTCACAACAGCCAAGATAATGGAAACAGCCCAATTGTCTACGGACAGAGGAGTGGAGAAAGAAAATGTGGTATATGTACACAATGGGATATTATTCAGCCTAACAAAAGAGAAGGAAAGCCTACCATTTGCATGCCGGATGCTGTGGATTAAAGAAGCGTGATAGAGAACGCTGCCGTTTATTTAGTGCCTTCCACGTGCCAGGTAACGTGAGCTGGGTGTCTCAGATCCATTATCTCCTGTAGGTCTCTCAACAAACCTCTCGAGTAAGTGGAGTGATTGCCATCTTACAATGAGGCATTTGAGGCTGAAGGAGAGAGGATGGCTGAAGTGGCAGAGTGTGCGCTGGAATCCAGCGTGCGTGTCAACTGACTTCTGGGGCGGAGGGAGAAGAGTTTGGAGAGAAAAGCAGGGACCAGGACACAGAGAGCTTCCAACGCCGTGCAGGAGCCGACAGAACACCACAGGCTCTGCTAACTGTCCTGGGGTGCCCCCTGCACACAAGCAGCCCCTACCTATCTGAGAACAGAACTAGAGTGAACTGAATGGATGCACACAACATAAGATGACGTGTACTTGAGGTTCCCCGGTCAGAGACCCACAATGGAAGAGCCAGCCTTCTGCTGAGGGGTCGTCCACGTGTGAGGGAAAAGCTAGAAGACTGTGGCAAAGAAAGAAAGAACCTCTAGGGCTGGACAGAGATGTCTAAGGTGATCTTTATGTTCTTCACTGTAGCTCTCGCAGCGTAAAGCCTGGCCTGCAACCCACCCCACGGCAGCATCAGTAGTTGTAAGGATAGGGAACATGCCAGGCACATTTCTACGAACCTCACTGCATTACCTCATTACATACTCACAAACACAACCCTCTCAGTTGGTATTGTTATGATGAAGAATACTAAACCCATTTCACAGGTGAGGATAGTAAGGCACAGGGGGCCAAGTGAATTTCTCAAGATGACATGACTGCAAGTGGCAGAACTGGGTCGGAAGGAAGGTTGTCTAGTATCAGAACCTGAGCCCTTTCCCACTACACGGTATCAAAACTCCCTCAAAAACCAACCAACCAACCAACCAAAAAACCCACGATGCTCACTGTATCAGGAAGTCTGCTTTGGGCTGTGAGTAAAGAGAAAACCCCTCCTCCAACAGTCCTAATCAGAAAGGCAATTCACGATCATACAAAATGATCCTTCCTCCTGATTTCATCTTGTATGATCGTGAATTGCCTTTCTGATTAGGACTGTTGGAGGAGGGGTTTCAGGCGGGGGACACTCTGGGATCCAGTGATGGTGTCAAGGACCCAGGTTCTTTTCAGCTCTCTGATCTGTCCTTTTCTGGAGTGGTTGTTCCAGGATCGACATCCAGATACGGAGATATCCAAGAACAGAAAAGGACTTTCTAATCCCGGATCTTTCCTCTGAACAACGAAGTATCCCAGAAGCAGCCACTGCCCGCCCCCCCCCCACCCCCCCGCCCCGGGCAAACATTCCCTTCCTTTCTCATTGGCCAGCACTGGGTCACATCCCCACTCCTCAATCAGTCAGGAGCGTGTGGGGGGCAATGTCTGTGGCAGTCCTAGGTGAAGGGTTTGGGAATGGAATGGCTGTTAGCAAGACTGTCGCCTCTTATTCCACCCCCAGGACTCAGCTTAGACAGCATGTCCTCCAAGAAGCCTTCTCTGCCCCTTTCCTCACATCCTGGACGGGGGATTTCCTCTGAGCTCCCGCAACACCCTGTATTTCTCCTATCCCAGCCACAACCTCACTCAGCTGTCGGAGGTGGTTGTTTGTCTGTCTCACCCACTGGCCCAGGAGCTGACAGAGGCCAGGGACTTTATCTTGTTCACCCATCACAGAGCCCTCGACCTCAGTGGGCATTCATAAATACACTATCTGTCGAGCGGAATAAAGAGAATGCGGGGCCCTTCGGAAACATCTCATTTAGTATATCAACCCCGCAGAATCCATATCTTCCCACGTCACAGAGGTGGAAATGCTTGCGTGGAGAGGTTAAGTAACATCTCCAAGATCACACCTCAGGCAAGGGGCAGAACTCCACCCCAGGTGCATCCTGACTCCAGATGCATGCACTCTTGGTGGCACGGCCTCCCTGGATTCTCGGCCTCCCTGAAAGCCTGACTTAGAAAGCAATCCCGAGGGAGAGAATGCAGGCGAGAATGTCCTGGGGGCTGACCTACACGTCCAGAGCTGGTCCAGCGATCAGGTAACTCACGCAGCAAATATTTCATATCACTTCCTAGTGCCAGGCTCCATTCTCAGTGCTGGGAATACTGCCCAGGACAAAATTTGCAGACTCTCCATTCTCATGAAGCTTGCATTCTGGTGTGGGGAGAAGAAAGTAAACAACTAAACAGGTAAGCACCTCCTATGTCAGGGGTGATGAATGCTATGAAGATACTTGTATTTATCTTGACAATTAAACCAGTGACATGCGATACTTCTGTCAACTTTCCATAATGATATGAAAAACGATTATAAAATAAATTTGTTTCTGTTCAAAGAATCATATTTCATTTAATAACATTTTAAATAACAGTCTGATTTTTTCTTTTTCTCCAGGAATGGCAAAATCCTAAGGGTAATAGACTGAGATCTGTCCAAGGTCACCGAGTGCTGAAAACCATGCTCCCAGCCCTGTGCAAAGCCAAGGAAAAATGAGTCTGAGTTGCAGCGATGCAAACCACACAGGTTAATAAAAGAGATTCCCCAGCACCTGGTACACAGGTGTCCTATATTTTTGGTGCCTACACAGAAAACCTCCATCCTACTGACTCTAGAACGAAGGAGATGCTTTTCAGAGCAGTGTCATTACAAAAGAACATTTAAATCAGTAACAACCGCTGATGCCCTCTTCTGAGTGCAAAAGAGGAAAGGAAGAGACCCATGAAACGTGGTTCTTTCGTTAGGGATCTTACAGTGTGGTGGGCCAGAGGACATATAAAGAGAAAGCAGTGGGAGTACAAGGGAGGGCAGAGGGGAAGGGTAAAGAGGAGGAGTGGCCACAGTAAGCAAGAGGGACACAAGGAGAACAGTCTCCTGCTGCGAGTGACAGAGGACACGTGGACCCACCCAAGGGCACTGAGCAGCGGGTTCACATCGTCCATTCTGCTGATGGAAGCCAGAGTGACATCTACACCTCTCACCCACGAAATAAGATAACCTGGCCGTCCAGGTTGGATTCCTCCAACCAATATTTACCAAGGGCCCACCTGTTCATCAGTCCCTTCAGCGAATTACCCAGTGCAGCCCCAACCTTGCACAGACCTAATCCTGAGCAAGTAAAAGACTGTCCAAGATACAATATAAAGGGGAAAAATGTGAGGAATACTCGGACACTAGGCACTCGGGACGGAGTGGGGAGAGAAGACATGATGCCCCTTGCCCCCTTGAACGAACAGAAATTTGAGCAGAGAATTTTCTGTGTTTGCTTATTTACAACATGTTATTTCCAGGTGAGAAACAGCTGGCACAACGGTAGCTATACACTAGGAAGGGAAAAAGTGGGTGTTACACTGGCACATTAAGGTTCTGGACGGTGGGGGATACAAGACACAAACAGCCGCTGGATTGAAAATTGATCTGAGAGATTTGCTCTGCCCACTCATTAGGATATATTGCTTCCAATAAACAAATCGACAGCATACCAACAGCTACACTGCTCTGTGTGCATCGCTGGTTGTCACCATCACTCACAGGATAAACGTGTTCGGAGCACCTGCTAGGCACCAGGCTCCAGGATCCATGCTTTGGTAGACTTTGTGCGCACGGGATGCCGTGCAGGATAACAGTCCTCAGAGAAGAGCTCACAGTCTGGTGGGCAGGCCGCCATGCTGAAGACAAGACGAAACAAGCGTGATGAGGGCCGAGGCAGATGTGGGCGGAACACAGAAGAGAGCCCCGTAACCCAGATGGTCAGGAATGGCTTCTCCTGGGGGTGGTGTGATACATAATATCATTGTCCCCATTTGCAGATGAGGTAACTGAGGATCAGAGAGGGTAAGCAACTCACTCAAGGTCACACAGCTAGGTAGTGGTGGTGACCATTTTTCACTTAGCTCTGTTAAAATACAAAATTCTCTACACTATTCATTACACCAATCTCTCCCTGCTAATACTGTCACCTGTTTTAACTCGCATTCGCCACCTTATACATACTCTTGGCTCTCCTTACCCCTTAAATACTTAAATGATATGCTGATTCAAATGACCACAGTTTAGATGTCCTTTTAGCACATCGGGCTTCTTCACTTTATAAATGTTCCTTGCCAGGCACGTTGGCCTTGCCTAAACTGAACATTTCTCTTGAGTTTGTATTGCATCCACGTGCTGGGGAAAGAAAACGGATCACTGCGACTTTAAGTTTTAACTTACCTATTTCATGCAATCGCAAGCACAGTTTTAAATGTAGTCAACATCCAACTAAAAACAGTAGAACCCGTGCTTCCCTAAACCAACCAGTCACAAAACGTTTTAGGGAATACCAAGGCGTTCCAGGTAAGAGACCCTGCCCTTAGGATAGGGAGCTGCCGAAAATCTACTCCTTAAAATATGGAAATCCTGAGCCAGCCCTGATGGCCTAGTGGTTCAAGTTCAGAGCGCTCTGCTTTGGTGGCCCGGTTCGCTCCTGGCGCCCAGCCACACCACCCGGCGGTCAGTAGCCATGCTGTGGCTGCGGCAGTGGCTCACATGGAAGGACTTACCAACCAGAATATACAGCTAGGTACTGGGGCTTCGGGGAGGGGGAAAAAAAAGAGAGGAAGATTGGCAACAGATGTTAGCTCAGGGCGAATCTTTCGCAGCAAAAAAGAAAAAAGGAAATCCTTTCTTTTTTTATCCTTTCTCTCTGTTGCTGGTTACCCTGAAAGGCTCAGGGACACAAGGTCATTCACTTTTCCATTTTTGACAAAACAAACAAGTAAAACAGCCCTGACACATATACACACCCCCAACCCCCAAATGTACGCAGTAGGAATATGTCAATGTAAGGAAACTGTATTGGAAATGTAAATAGAATTCTGTGACTAGTTATAGAAACAAATTTCTGATCACAGGAGAGGTCTGTTGCCCTGGATGGGCTGTACTCCAGTAAACTGGACGACCAAAGATACCATCCTTCTCTAAATAGTATACACTGCAGCTTGTAGAGCCATCTGATAAAAATTGTCTAAACAATTGCATATCAATGCAGGAACTACAGAGCCTATTAAAAAAGCACGTCTATTCCTATGTCACATCATGACCTCTCTCATACACCTCCTAGAAAGAGTTTCTCTGATGGTTTCAATACGGGAAATGTAGGTTTCCTAGAAAACACTTCAATTATTTTGCCTAACTCTGTGGGGCGGGAGGTGAGGTAGGGAGGGAGGTGATGCCAAGGAAACAGACTATTTCTGAACCCGTTGAACACTGACTCTAGCCCAATTATATCCCGGGGGTGGGGCGGTGGGCGTCCAACGATGCCCGTAGAAAGCGTCAATATCTTCCTTCTCCGCTTAAAAATGGCAACCCTCAACTAGAGAAGGAGAAATACGCCACACAAATTGTCAAACCGCCGTTCTGATACCGAAGCGATAGGGCGTCTGAGAAAAACAACGGTTCCTTTGGAAAGTACACCTCCCCCTCGGCCAAAGAGAAGGATTCTGGTCCCGTGACAACAACGCGCCCCGGGACTGTTCTAGGGCGATCACCCCTCTCTCTGTCTGTGTGTCCGTCTCTGTCTCTGGGGCTGTCGGGCTCACGCACGTTCTTTTGCGGATCAGGTTCCCGCCGTCCAGTAGCCAGTGCGCTGCCTCCCATCCTCAGCCCAGGAGAAGAAGCGCGGTCCCCGGGAATAGAAGGGTTAAGACCACCGAGAGGAGAAATCCTCCCGACGTCCTAGGGAGGCTGCCCTGCCCCCCCCCCCCCCCCCCCCCCCCCGGAGGGTCTGGCGGCTGCGCCTGACGTCACAGGGATGGGACTCTAAAGAGGAGCCAAGTCCTCTGACCCCAGCCTCCCACGGGCTGCAGTGGGCGGGGAGGGACCCAGGAGTGGCCTGAGGGAGAGTGGGTTCCTCTCCGTGGGCGGCCGGGGGAACCCGCGACAGAAAACCCGCTCGGAGGAGAGAAGGGTTGAGCCCGCCCATCCTGGCCGCGCAGCTGAGCGGTGTCCCAGGAGCGCAGGGACGGGACGGGTCGGGAGGGATGCTTCTTGAGAACGCAGGAAGTTACCCGGCGGTGGAGGTGACTTCACTGACGACGACGCACGTGGGTGCTGAGCTGGGGGAATGGAAGGAGGGGCTTCTCCCGTGACAGCCTGGGTACTCCTGTACCTGGGTACTTGGGAGTGCACACGGGAGGAGAAGCACCTGTTACCGATTTGTTTTCTTACCCACCGTTTTTGCACATCATCACACTGGGAAAGACAGAAACCAATCTAGTAAAGAGACGGACTTCATTCAGGCTGTCGCGATCGGGAGCGCACCCCAGATCTGAAGATCAGACTGTCACAGTTGGGTGGTTTTGCCTTTCACTTCACAAGAATGAGCAGACCCGTTATAGGGGGGAGATTCACAGTGTGGGATCGTTTCTGCATTCAGGGCAAGTCTCCTTCAGCTGAACAGATGTTTATCTCTGCTGTCTAGCTAGTTTCAGGAGGACTGACTTCTAATCTCAGTTATCATTCATGAGACAAAGAACAGGGCGTTGGAGGGTCTCTTATCTGGCCCTTCAGCAAAGGAGAAAGGTCTGTGTTTGGCCTTGTCGCAGGTATACCAGGAGTCATCCGCGGGTCTTACGGGAAGTAGGACAAAGAGTGGACAGCAGGCCTTCTCTGAGTCCTAAGAGGAAGGGTGGTCCTTTGGGGTAAGCCATTTCCAGAACACAAAAGCCTGCAGAGACTTCTTTACCGCGGTTTGTGTTCAGGGCTGGGGTGAAGTTCAACATTGTCAACACGGTAAAAATGAGCAAGGCATCTTTCATGCTTGTCCAAGCACGTACATGGGTAAGTAGAGAGATTCCCTTCTTACCCTGGAAGTAATCGACACTCCGGGAGCACATTATAGTTTTCAAAAGGTAATATTATCATGATCTAAGTGAAGGAAGCAAAACTGAGTCATTATCCCAGAATATGCTCACCGTCCTCATCTTACAAATGAGGAAACTGACCACAGAGGTTAAGTAACCTGCCCAAAGTCACACAAGGACTAAGTGGTGGAGCCTTGACTCAAACCTAGGTATCTGTGGCTTCATCACCTCCCTGCTATTCAGCCATCCACTGACAGTTTCCAGATCCACATATCCGGTTCAATCCTCTCTCCTAGACTACAGACCTCCTGAGCCAACTGACAGGCCCATAGGCAGACTGCGGTTAACAAGTGCTAGACAACCTCCAGGACGCTGGAGATGACACCACAGAAAAGTGTTAGAGAAACTCAGTCTCAAAGGCCCTACCCCCAACCCTCTGGGGGGAGTGAGGGGCTACAGGAGGAAGACTGGAGGGTCTGCAGGGGGGCTGTTTCTCTGAGAGACAGGCTGATGGGCTATCATACCGCACACGTGTGATGATCAACACTGATTACTTTGAATGTTTTTTTCTTTTAATGTTGGCAACACATGCTGCCTGGTGAAAATACACGGAGCACATATGGAAAACCAAGAGGGTAGATGGATTAGCATGTTACCGGGGCAAGGTCCACCGCCCGATGCACACCGAAGCCAACACCATGGCACCAACTTTTGAGAAAAGAAAAGGCTTTATTGCAGGGCCAACCAGCAAGGAGACGGGCAGCAAGGCTCTCAAATCTCTCTCCCCGATCCAAGGTTCGGGGCAAAATTTAAGGAATTAGGAGCTACTGAGCTGCAGCTGGGCCCACATAAGCTGATTGGCTAGTCTCAAATCAGTCCATCAAGCTACCGGGGCTGCTGGAAACCAGATTTTTCCTTATTGAAGGCCGGGGTCATCCTGGGGCTACGGATTCCCACCTGGCAAGGTTTGATTAATCGATTACCTGTTTTAAGGAAGCAAAGCTAGTTGAAGCTGGTCAATGTCTTATGTGCTGTTTCAAGTAGAGAGATTTCCATTTTACCTAGGGAGTACCTGATAGTAAACCAGCACTCTGCTGTATCAAAGGAGAACGTTCTCCTAGACTAAATGAAGAAAACAGAAATTAGTCATTTTTCCTAATTATTAGTAGCACTGTCCTATCACAGATGAGGCATCTTAGGCCCAGAGAGGTTAGGTCAGCTCCCCCAAGTCACTCAGGTCAACAACTGTTTGAGGCCCACAGGCAAGGAATACCCAACATGCCCAAACTGAATCCATCCACCCCCACTCCCCACACCTCTGCACCCCCTCTGGCGTTGCCTAACTCAGTGAAAGGCAGCCTTCTACCCAGCTGCTTAGGCCAGAGATCCTCAAAGCCATCTTTGATTGCTGCCTCTCTCACCCCTCCCCCCTCATCATCAAGCCCAGCCAATTAGACCTCCTAAGTCTTTCTAAAAGAAGATGTGGACACTTCTCTTCATCACTACAGTTCCCTAGTCCAGGTCACCCTCATCTCTCTCCTTGACAACCACCACCAATCTTGGCCCTTTCCTCAAGTTCTCTTTTCCACTGCCTGAGGGACCTTTCTTAAATCCTAATCTGGTCATGTCACCCCTGCTCAAAACTCTGCAGGGGCTGCCTGCTGCTCTTAGGATAACGTCCAGCCTCCTGCCCCCAAATGCCTCATCTTCAGCAGACCCCTACCTCTGCTCCACGCCCCACTTGATATTCCAGCCAACCAAAACCTCTTTCTGTTCCTCAAGTGGCCAGTGCGCTCGTGCTTGTACTCGTCCTTCTCCTCTCCCTCTCTCCCTCCCCCTCCCTCTCCCTCTCTTTCTCTCCCTCTCTTTCCGCCCCCCCCCCCCCACCCCCGAGTTCCACAATCTCACGTGTGCTGTTCCCTCTATCTGGCATGCACTTCCTCCCTCCTCATCTGCCTGATTCCTACTTCTGTTCAGGTGTCAGGTTAAGCACAGCAATTTCCATTTTACCTTAGGGAGTACCTGGATGTAGAGGCACAGTTAGATTTTCTATTTTTACTCAATAGAAAGTGATGGAGATTTCATTATAGATTCCCCAGACAGACAAACATTTTCCTCCGGTTCACAGTGAGCTAAGTGGAAGTGCACTATGATGACAGAGTTTTTCTGGGAAAGGCTTCCTCGCTAAGAATAGCATACACGCGGCAAAGATCTCCCCTTATTTCATATGGGCCCATTGTTGTGTCTGAATTTGGAGTTTGAAACTGTGGCCACAATTTTCACACCCTGAAGGGATCCAGGCTGAGGACCTACCTCACAGGGAGGAGGGATAAGCCGAAACATGGAAAGAATCTGCCACTTGGTGGTGTCATTGACCCCATAACAGTAAATTAAACAGGCCTTGAACTGCCCTACCTGTGGACTTGGATTTGAGGAGAGAATTTTTCACTGTAAGGTACAGTCTGAGTTTTCTGTTAGGACAAGAGAATGTATACGAACTGGTCCTCCCTTTGCAAAGGGTTTGATTTACTAGTCCCTGTGGTCATCAGGGAGGCAAGGATCAGCTGCCTGCTCACTATGGGGGACCCTCCAGGGGAATCTGACAATGCCTTCATGCCACCCCTTAGAGGTCCTCACTAGATGCCATCAGCCCCTGGAGGAAACTATGTCAGTTCCTATAAAGTCCCGTGGAGAGCGCCAACCCACTGCTGATTCTGCCTGCTACAGACTCAACTGTGAGGATTAACTTCATTCACTGCAACTCCTCTGAGCAGAGCACACCTAAGTACAAAGTGAAGGGTGCACCTTGGACATGTGAACAATGAAAGAGCAAAGATGGAAATGGCACCAGTCCGATCACCACCACCGTAACCCCCAACCCCACCCAGAACCCCAGGGGCCCTGGCATGCTTCCCTCACACTGATGTGTCCCCTAACACAGGGCACAGTGTGAATAGCTCTTCCTGGAGCCCAGCTGCTGAGGGGCCAACGTGTGCCGGGCATATACAGTTTTATTTCCCAAAGACCCAGAGAGGTAAGTATCAGACCCCGCCTTCTCTAGACATGGAAACAAGCTGAAAGAGGTTAGGTCGCTGATGCAGTAAAGGGTGGATCTGGGAATCACACCCCCGTTCTGCCCGACTCCAAAGCCAGTCTTCTTTGCATTCACGACGACACACTTGGCTTGTGTTTCAGTTGCTGAGATGCAGATATTGTTCCATGATTGGAGAGTCACCATTGTCCCAACACCACGTCCAGCTGTGAAACGCAGGAACCCAGCAAGGCAAAGACTCTCTGTGTCTGCCCTCAAAGGAGCTGCCCTGAAGCCAACAGACCTGGAGTGCCTTGGCATGAAAGGCCTGCCTCAGAGTTAACAGCCAAACAGGACTTTAACTTCCAGGGTTTCCCTGTGGGAAGGCGCTTTGCCATATTCGAGAGACTTTTACAATGAATCCCTATCCCCAAATTATGTCCTCACCAGTCTCACTATATTTACCAGATATTAAGAACCGAGAGGCAAGCAGAGGAAGTGTTTTTAGTGGCCGCGTCACAGCTCCGGAGATGACCAAACTCCAGCTGTGGTTTGGAGCCCAACAGGCCGAGAATTGAAATCTGGCTCTACCTGTGTTGATCTCTCTGTTCTTCAGGTTGCTTGTCTGTAAAATGTGGATAATCCAAGTGCCTACCTCAGAAGCCTTCCCTCCCGTGAGAAGTCTGTCCTGACCAAACTCACACAAACACCCTCAGGGAGGGGTAAGATGCCCTCCCTCTGTGTTCCTAGGGTACCATGATTTAAATCCTGCCATTGCCCTTCTCACGCTGCTACACGTGGCGGTCATCTGCTTGCAGGTTACATCCCTGTATCCGCAAACTGTGTCCTGTAGGCTGGGACGCAGTGTCCAGTTGGTGATTAGAAGATGTTTTCTGATGGATGAAGGAGCCTGACCAAAGGTCAATAAAGGGTAGCCATTACTGTATCAGTTATTTCGGTGTTAGAAATAACACAGGAGAACAAAGTCAAAAGGACCTCTCTGTAGCCAGATTCTCTTCCCTTTGGGAGGAGGAGGATTGCGTCTTTCATACCATCCCTAATTCCAGAAACTCCTAATAAAAGAGGCTGCAACGTTCATTAAACATGTGTGGGTCACTCTGTTGCCCCATCAGCCACAGTTCTGGCCTCACAGTGGAACTTGGGTCAAGATCCTTGGAGCACCAGTCAGTCTGCTGAATGTTTCCCAAGTACCAAGTGGCTGGTAGTGCACATAGTAGGCCCCACAACGATCTGTCCAATAGGTGGACTGTTGAATGAATTCAGGCTGCTAGTTAAGTATGTGATGCTGTGCCTCGAGAACAGATATCCGTGGAGACAGGGACATGAGCACATGGATGAAGGGCGTGTCAGTCCAAACTCAAACCCGCCTCTTCTCTGACTGCTCTTCCCCCATGTCCCTCCTCTGCGTCACTCTACAGCCTCGCACAGGCTTGTCACTCAGCACCGACGACCTTTTCGGTCCAGCGGACTGAGCAGAACTTACGCAGCCCAGCGGGATCTAGTCCCTGTCACCCTCGGTTCTCCCCGCCTTCCGTTCAGCTCTCCCTCCTTGCCCCCAGTTTCCCTGGCCTCCTGGCAGTGTCTGCACCAAGTCTGGCAGCCTCTGCCTGTGACACTTTTTCCCAACTGTTCCCTCTGTCTGGAAAGTCCTGACCCCAGACATCTGCTTGGATGACTCCTCTCCCTCTTCATGTCTTTGTAGAGATGTCACCTCCTCAGTGAAGCCTACCCTGGTCGCTCTGGTCAGTATTCCCACTTGCCTCCCAAATTCCCGATCCCATTACCATGATCTAAATTTTTTTTTCTTTTTAATGACAGAACCATCACCTTCTAACACACTTCACAATTTACTCAGTTGTTGGTGAGGGTTTACTGTCTGCCACCTACCCCTTCCCCTCCAGGGAGTGTAAAGTCCCGGGCAGGGATTTCTGTCAGTTGGGCCATCACGTATCCCAGCACTTGGAGTAGTGCCTGCACGCAGAAAACCCTCGATGAATATTTGTTGCCTGAAGCAAGAGGTCTGCCTCCCCTCCTAGACTGTGAGATCCTTGAGGGTCTGTTCTTCTTCCCCTTGGGACAGGACCCTCCCTCCACGCAGGGACAGGTCTTCAAGACACAGCTGCTTCAGTTTCAGCCACACCTGCTGCCCGGCAGCTCTGTGATCTGGGACACAGGGGCCGCCTGGCTTTATTTCAAACCCCAAACACTTAACTTTAAAGGAACTTAGATATATTCAAGGTTTTGCTTTTACTTTGTAGCCTTGCTTATTCCTTGACATGCTCGTTTTTAAGAAAATTGTTGCTGTTCATGAACCACTTAGAAGTTCAAAATTTGCGATCAATTCAGTTGCGTCAGTGTGAAATGCTTCAATCTCAGTGTGTGTAGTATTTCTTTTCCTCTTTTCTTATTCTCACTTGTCAACCTTTTCTTTCTGTTTCAAAAACAAGAGGGAAGTTTACCCCTGCCAGCATCCTGGTGACTTGCTCCCAATGTGTTCAATGATTTACTGCCAGACACCCAACTGTGCGATGATTTCCATTACTGTTACACACAGGAGAGGCTCACAGGCATTCGTTTAACAAGGTTTTACAGAAACAACAATCAAATAATTCATAACATTGACCTTTGAGAACTCCCCTTTGGCATTCTGGAATTAGAGAAAATGTTAGGAAAAGTTAGAAATGCCATGACGTCTTCCTCTGGGCGGGTGACCTGCCCTTTCCCTGCCCCACCCAGGCCAGAAGACTTCCCCAGACTTCACACCGTCAGAGAACTGAGCAGAGGGGCTGTGCCACAGAGCAGGGCTCAGACGCAGGAAGGCGAGTTTCAGAAAAGCGGACTTGTCAACGACAAGGAAGTTTTCCCAGCACTGGGTAGGCAGTGGTGCTCTTGTCTGACAGTTTTGCCGCGGAGGCGTTGCTGCTTTGCAGATTTGGGAATACACGAAGATGAAGAGAGGGGTGGCTTTACATCAGACAGAGGTTGTATTAGAAAATGGCCCTTAGGAGGGAGGGCAACACTTCCTGCTCTGTTGAAATCCGCCTGAAACGCTTGCCCTAGTGGTTGAAGAGAAACTCACCTCCGCCTGACATGTGATCCCACAGTGCGTAATTTACGGAATATCAAGGAAATTTACAAACCTGTCTGTCTTCTAGCCAGGTTGTCAGTTTTCAGAAAAGGAACAAAGAATTTTCTCCCCTGGAATCCTCACCTCCTGGTGCAGAATGGATTGTGTGGTTCCTGAGGAAATAACAGGATTAAACCATGGGTGTCTCAGAGATGGAGATAAAATTCTGGAGGATGTTTACTCTTTCTGCAACCCAACACACATTTATATTAAGCAATATGTGCACAAGACTCCAACGCCCCAACTGAGTCATCTCAGGCCCACACTCTCCCCCCGGCCGGAGATGGAATTTGCCTGGATCCCTTCCCCTCCCCCAGCCCTGAATTCTGCTTTCAGAAGATGTGTGCCATTTGGGGAAGGGGCTGAGGTACAGTTTGTACAACCTCATCATGGAAAGGTCAAGTTAAGGTTTGGAAAGATGATCCAAAAAGCTCGACTCTCCTACCACCCATCCAGGGCATAGGGGATCCAGGCTTTCAAATGTACAGTCAGAAAGCTGCAAAATGAATGCATCCAGCTTTATTTTATGGGCATCGGGCCTGAGAGGAGACAGATGACATCAGAGGACAAGATGGGCAGCTCCCATCCATCGTGAGAGAGGAGTTCCCCACACTGTGTCTTTTGTCTGGGGGACAGAATAAACTCCTCCTCACAATGGGATTCCCACAAATGGGACCGAGGGGAACCCTGTGACCTTCAGGTGACAGGGTGGTGAGAACCCAACCCGAGTGGAGGGTCTGAAGGAAGCCGACCACATATACTCCATGGTCCAGACAAGGAAGCCGGGTTGTTGGGAGCTGGAGTGGATGAATTCACAGACAGCCAACTTGGATCAATCTCTCCCTGTCTTTCTGGACAGTTGTCAGACTGAAACCTCGGGGGGAGGTCACAAACACCTCACGTCTGAACTTTGGTATGTGACAAAGTCTCTCCATGGGGATATAAATGCCCAAATGGCTCGGGGGGTTCAAACTGGGACACAGAACCAAAGACAGACCAGACCTCGCTCTGGGACCCGGATCTCCACCAGCTCTGAAGCATCAGACGCTGGACACAGACTCCCAAATACCTCAAGGACCTCACACTATGGCTCACAAACCCCACAATACCTCAACGACACACTAAACCCAGATACAGACCCAGGAAAGAGCAGCTAGGAGACCTCACTGCACTGGACACCCCCCCCCCCCACCCCCCAAACAATCCACAGAACTCAAACTCCTAGAAACTCAGTAAATGAGGCCAGAGACACAGAATCAGCTCAGAGACGACAAATTCTAAAACACAGGCCCGCATGATTTTAGCAACTTCATAACCTATGAGACAGAAACACAACAGCTCACAGACCTCACACCCTGCACACAGAAGCCACACCATCACAGAGCTCACACCCTCGGATGCAGACATGCAAACAGCTCAGAGCGCTGGTACAGTGAACACAGAGAGCTCGCTCACAATGCTACGTGCAGCCAACATCTAAGAGACCTCAGAGCGTGGTGCACCAAATCCCACCCGCCCAAGGTTCATAACCCGAGACACAGTCGACCCCTCGAAATTCCAGCAACCTTAATCCCTGGTACGCAGACTTATAACCAGGTCAGAGATGTCACACTCAGGATGCAGAACCCTCACAGGGTCAGATACCTCCCACCTTGTGTCAAATAACCTTTGTGATCTCACAGCGTAGGGTATGAATCCCCGAGGAACTCAAATGCGTCACATCCTCGACCCAGGAGAGCTCAAACCCTAGTTCCTGAAATACAGAATGGGCACAACCCCGTTACCTCACACTGTGGACACAGCACGTAAAACAGATCAGATACCTCACACACTGGAAGAGAGACCCCTAAACAGCCCAGAGGGCTCTCACCCTGGACACATAATTCCCCACAGCTCAGAGATCTCACGTCCTGGACGTCGACCCTCACATAGCTCAGACGCCTCGAATCCTGGACACGGGCGCTGAAACAGCTCAGAGAAATGACATCTTGCTTCTGACACCCAAAAAGTCACCCCACACAGGACACATGTCAGTTAGAGCCCCAGTGAGGTCTCACCGAGCCCCATGAGTGAGACTCAAAGAAACAGACACAGAGAGAGACAGAATGAGAGAATTACAGACAGCCTTTCTGGAAAACCACTGTCTCTGTGGAGTTAGTCCCTACCGCAGGACCCCCATCCAGCCACCTGGAGAACCTCCTCTTCTCTTCCAGGGGAAGGAAGACCCCAGATTCTGCCTTCATTGGCCGTTTCTGGACAACGATTCAGCTGCACCGAGCCTAGGCCACAACCAGGAGGGAAGGACCCCGGCTCTGTCCCCTGGCCTGACACACAGTGGAGCCCTCCACCCACCAAAACGGGATACCTCCTGGGTTTGGAGGGTTCATGCCGTCCTTGGGGCGACCCCCACTGCCCCTAAGGCCCCGTGCCGTCTCCCTGCTGAGGAGCTGCTGCCTCAGTGTAGGGAGTGGAATCTGTGGGAAAGGTGGAACCGGAGGGCAATCCTCTGCTGCTGAGGGCAGGGTTGGAGGCCACTGGGGGCCGGGCCCCGCGGAGCCTCATGGACTGCTTGGCTGACATCCAATTCGCCCTGAACACACTGCTTCAGCCTCCTCAGCAAGTGGACCAAGGGGGCACTGCAGCCACCTGGTTTTCCCTCAGCCCGCCTCAGCCCGGAACAAGGACACCTTCAGCCAGCAGATCCTTTGCAAGCCAGTGAACAAGAGTGAGGGAAGGAGACGGTGAAGAGGTTCACACTGCTGTGCTGGGAGGCTACATGCCACAGACCACATACCTGACCACTGAGAGGCGCCCCAGTCCCACCCACCCCTCCATCCACCTTGTCATTTCCCCATCCCCAAAGAGGAAACCTGTCCCCTCAGTGCCGAATTCTGCTTTAAGGGGGAAGGGGGCGTGAGGGTCTCTACATTTGCTGTGGGGCTTTGTGCCAGTTGTGAGGCACATATATTACCCTGCCTCTATCCTCCAACAGGAGACCAGCACCAGGGCAGGGCTATTTGCTCATGGGCAAAAACAGCTGCAAGGCTGTGGAATTCGGGGACTGGCGCTGATATGGGCCTGGCTGATGTGTCCTCCTGGGGACACACGCAGTGGCCCATCTCTGACGCCCTGGCGGAATTTTATCCCCCAAGACAACAGGAACCCAGTCGTACATTTCCAGCCTTTCCGGCAGAGCTCTGAATACAGTCAGGGCTCAATGAACGCCTAATAAGAAGTTCACTGACTTGAGAAACCACCTATCTCCTACTCGCCCACCTTCACTCAAACATCTTCCTGTCTCAAATCTGCCTAAAATCCCATGAGTCAAGCATTCACTTCTTTGGGATGAGCAAGTCACCTCCCATTTCCCTGGAGACTATATCATGAGCCCTCTGGGAACTGTCTCTGCCCATCCAGGACCTACAGGTAGTCTGGTGGACACAGAACAGGACACTGGAGAAGGGTTTTCTCAGTATGGTGTGAAGTGTTATTCAGCTCTGAAGTCAATATAGTGGGATCCAATAAGCACTGTTAAAAAGGGAACAGACAGGGCCAGCCCTGAGGGCCTAGTGGTTAAAGTTCAGCGCAGTCTGATTCGGCAGCCCAGGTTCGTTTCCCGGACGTGGAACCACAGCACTCATCTGTCAGTAGCCATGCTGTGGCGGCGGCTCACATAGAAGAACTCGAAGGACTTATAACTAGAATATACAACTATGTACTGGGGCTTTGGGGAGAAAAAAGAAAAAGAGAGGAAGACGGGCAACAGGTGTTAGCTCAGGGCGGCTCTTTCCCAACAACAACAACAACAACAACAAAGAATAAGCATCCACACACACACACAAAACTCAAAAAACGAAAAGAACAGAAAAGAAACCAGTCTCCAATTCTCTGCTCTACTTTCCTTCTGTCTTTGCGTTAAGAAAAAAAAAGAAAAAAAGGGAACGGATAGATCGACTACAAGACAGAATAGAAGCAGCCAGTGATTCCACTGACCTGGTAGCATCTTCAGCCTCTTTCGCTGGTGAGCGGGCTGAGGTTCCTGGGCAGGATTCCAAACCCTCTACTTCCACCATTCAAGCCGCACCCCTGCACCTTAAACTCCCTGAGTAGGACACTCCCTCTCTCAGCCAATGGGAGTTCTCTTCCCTGGAAGATCCTGAGTAGGCAGTCCCATCTAGACCCATCAGCTCTAGTGTCGTCCTTAATGTCTGCCCTGCTCACCCATCAGGGAACCATTCGCTTGCTCCACTGTGGTCTTCCTGGGCCCTACTTGATTTGAATCTGTAGAGCTGGTGGGCTGGGGCCAGAAATGGGATGATGGTGACCTCAGGAGAGGTGGAGGCCTCTCCCTCAGAGTGGACGTGTGGAGTCCCTGCATGGTGGTGAGCCCCCCTGCACCTTACACACAATGGGTGGTTTTGGAATACAAGACCCCCCTTTCCACTGGTAGCTCCCAGAGCAGACCGCTCCATCTGGGTCTCTCAGTGGTACCTTCCAGTAGAGGAAAGTAACACCCACCACTCATCATTCAACATCTCCCCCTTCCCCATCACCCACACTCTGGTAATTTGCCCAGAAAGGGTTGTTTCGTGCCTATTTCCAAGGGGTGATTCCAGCCCCAGCTTCCTGCCCCCCCACCCCCCCACCAAATACATCTACATGGGCAGTGGATTGCTCCATCTCAGTCTCATTTCCCCTGAAATCCCCACGTGGATCGTTCCAGTTGCAGACTCCAAGATCTTGTAGACAGCCTTGGGATAGAGTCCAGCCTCCTGCCTAAAGCCTCCACCCTATGAATGGTGCTGAGGATGCCGGCAAAGGGGCACTGGTTCCCTTGCCCCACTGAGGGAAGCGTCAATTGGTAAAACAACTTTGCAGGGCTCTGTGGCAGCATCTACCGAAATTCAAATTCTACCTCGTCCCCACCCAGCAGAATTTCAGCTTCACGAAAAGAGGGACGTGTGTCGATCTTATTCTACGATGTCTTGCCAGCATCTGGAACGGTACCAGGTACACAAGTAGGTACCCAAGAGACGTTTGTTTAGCCAAAGAATTCTTTGATCCAGCAACTCCACTGCTACGAATGTGTCTTAAAGAAACATTCACACACGCACAGAGCTGTGTGTACAATGATAATGGCAAATTTCTGGGGGAAAGAAACCTCTAAATGTCCATTAATAATCAATGACCATTGGAAGGGTAAACGAGAGATGAAGTATTCATATTATACCACGGAGCACCCGCTGGCCTTGAAACAGAATGAGGGGAGACAGTTTGTACTGGCCAGAGAGGTTTTCTTTCTTTTAATGACGAGTAACAAGTAAGAAATACTCACACTCACCCAGTGTCTGTGTGTGTGTGTGTGTGTGTGTGTGTGTGCACGTGACGTTTGTAAATGCAGAAAACGGGGACAAGAAGGGAACACCTAATCCGACTACAGTGGTCACCTCTGAGGATCAAACTGAGGGAGGCAAGATTTGGACAGCTTATTACGTCTTTTGGTGTAGCCTACTGTATCGCCAAAAATGTCCAAAAATCTATCCAAAAGTGCACGCTTGCCTTTTTAAAAGTTTTTTTATTTTATTGAGCTGTAATTCATGTACCGTAAAATTCACTCTTTCAATGAAGTTGTATAATTCAGTGGTTTTTACTATATTCACAAGGTTGTGCAACCATCGCCAATATATAATTCCAGAATAAACCCTGTACCATTAGCCGTCCCTCCTCAGTCTCCCCTCCCAACAGCCCTTGACATTCACTAACTTGCTGTCTGTCTCTACGCATTTGTCCATTATGGACATTTCATATAAATAGAATCCTACACCAGGTGGTCTTTTGTGTCTGGCTCCTTTCACTCAGCATAATGTTTTCAAGATTCATCCACGTTGTAGCATGTATCAATCAGTACTCTATTCTTTTTATAGCTGAACCACATTCCGTTATATGGGTACACCACCACATTTGATATTCTATTCATTAGTTGGTTGGCATTTGGGATGCCTGCACTCTTCGACTATTATGATTAATGCTGCTAGGGACACTGGTATACAAGTTTTTCTGTGAACTTATGTTTTCACTTGTCTTGGATATATACCTAGGAGTGGGAGAGCTGGGTCACACGGCAACCCTAGGTTTCACTTTGAGGAACTGCCAAACTGTTCTCCACAGCAGCTGTACTGTTTTCCATTCCCACCAGCAGTGTATGAGGATTTAAATTTTTCCACATCTTCCTCAACACTTGTTATTTTCATTTCTTAAGTTACATCCAGACTAGTGGGTATGAAGTGGTAATGCACTGTGGTTTCAGTTTTTATTTCCCTAATGACTAATTTTATTTTATTTTTTTTTGCTGAGGAAGATTAGCCCTGAGCTAACTAACATCTGTTGCCAATCTTCCTCTTTTTCTTTTCTTTTTGGTGTTTTTTTTTTTTTTTTTTTTTGCTTGAGGAAGATTAGCCCCGAGCTAACACCTGTGCCAATCTTCCTCCACTTTATATGTGGGTCGTTGCCACAGCATAGCTGACGAGTGGTGTAGGTCTGCGCCCAGCATCTGAACCCGCGAACCCGGGCTGCCGAAGTGGAGCGTGCCGAACTTCACCACCACACCACGGGGCTGGCCCCACCTAACAACTAATATTTTTGAGCATCTTTCCACGCGCTTCTCGGAGATTTGTATATCTTTTTAATAGAAAGGACTATTCGAATGCTTAGCGCATCTTTTAATTGGGTTATTTGTCTTTTTATTGTTAGGTTGTAAGAGTTCTTTTTACATTCTTGATACTGGACCCTTATCAGATACATGATTTACAAATATTTTCTGCCGTTCTTTGGTCTGTTCTTTTCAATTCCTTATGGTGTTCTTTAGAGCACGTTTTAAACATTTTTTATGAAGTCATTTTAATCTAATTTTTCATTTATTACCTGTGCTTTTGGCATGATATGTAGGAATCCACGGCCTAACCCAAAGTCACAAAGATTTACTCCTATGCTCTCTTACAGGAGTTTTATAGTTTTAGCTCATTTACATTTGGATTTTGATCCAGTTTTGACTTAATTTTCGTCTGTGGTATGAGGTCTGAATACAAATTCAATCTTTTGCATGTGGATATCCAGTCGTCCCAACACCATTTGCTAAAAAGACTGTTCTGTTCCCAACCAACTGTCTTGGCACTGGTGTCAAAAATTAATTCACCACAGACGTACGGGGTTTATTTCTGGACTCTCAATTCTATTCCATTGATCTGTATGTCTATCCTTACATTTAGCACAACATTGTCTTGATGCGTGGAGCTTTGAAATAATGTTTGCAGTCGGACTGTGTGAGCCCTCCAACTTTGGTTGTCTTCTGCAAGACTGTTTAAGCTGGAACTTCCATATGAATTTTATGATCAGCCTCTCAACTTCTAAAAAACTGCAGGTAGAATACTGACAGGGATTGCACTGAATGTTTGGATCAATTGGGGGAAATCTGCCATCTTAACAATATTAAGTCTTCCAATCCATGAACACAGGATGTCCTTCCATTTATTTAAGTTTTCTTTAATTTCTTTCAACTGTGTTTTGTCATTTTCAGTGTACAACTCCTGCACCTCGTTGGTTAAATTAATTCCCAAGTACATTATTCTTTTGATTCTATAGTACTGGAATTATTTTCTTCATTACTTATTAGGATTTCTCACTAGTAGTGTACAGAAATACAACTGACTTTTGTATAATGATTTTATAACTTGCAACCCGAATCTGAAGTCTATGTTGTACTGAAAATAATTACAGCAACCACACAACGGAAGCGCAGCTCAGCTACTGAA